AGATGACGTTCTTATCCAAGACATATATGAGTTGGAAATTTTCAGATTTCAAGAATTTTGGACTGCACAAAATTGAGAGGGGTATGGAGAGAAAAGATTGGAGAGAACGGCGGCTTTTATGCATAGAAAAGTCAAGAGTTGCTTACACTTGGCAAAGGATGTTTCTACATGATCTAATCGAGGATTCATATTTATTTTATAGTTTTTTATTTGTTATTGGATTCTAGATTCAAATTTTGATTCTTAGTTTGGATTGAATTTTTTAATAAATTTCTTTAGGATATTTATTTTAAACATGAACTAAATCCTCATTCTAGGGTTGCAATAGAATTTAGCATGTAGTTTGGAATTTTGATTTATTTTTTCTGATTTTTTCAAGTTATAGATTGTTTATATATCCCTATATTTAATACTTTCAATTGTTTAGCCAACAATTAAATTGGTTTAGGAATCGAATTGATTCTTGGGAAAGGTACTTTTGATTTTGCCAATTTGACTAAACAATCTATGTTCAATTTAATTGCATGAATAATTAAATTATTTTGTATATAGGATAGAAATATACTTACTTTAGGTAATCAAATTGGAATCTAAACTTAATGAATATAGTTAATTTTGAATTATATATGAATATAGTAATTCGGATTTAATTAGATATTTTTTATAATATTTTAGGAGAAATTATAAATAATTTAGAATTCTAAGTTAACAATTTTAGCTTGTTTCTAAATCAAAAAAATAATAAAATAATTTTAAATGAAGTATTAAAGGAAGTTGAAGACCCTAGATTATCTCCTTTTACTTTTCTAGAATCTGTGAATTGCTTTGAGATTTATTTTATTAGTTTAATTCTATTTTTAGTTATTATTCCTTGTCTTTTTATTGAATATTTGGATAGCGTTGAAATTTAACAAATAATTTTAAATTATTTCCTTGTGAGAATGATACTTTATTTTTATATTACTTGTCACAATACTTGTACGTGCGTATTAAGAATACACAACAACATGCCATTACACTAGTTGATACTAGTAGATGGTTATGGCAATTTCAGTATTCAAAACACGTATTATTGAATTTTTATTATTGTCTTAATCAAATGTGGGACTTTTGAATTTTTAAAAATTAAAGTCATGTAATGATTGATAATAAAAATGAATATTAAATAATTACAATTATATTTTGTATTTTCAATAAACAAAGTCTAAGAATTTCAATTATAAAATAACAAAATTATCAGGCACTTGAATATCAGATTCAGAGTAGAGATTTTAACTCGATGTTGATATATGTCTATTAGACTATTATATTTTGCATTATCAATGCAGATGATCCAGTTGTACACAGAGAATTGAAAAACTGATTTTTGTGGGTCTTAGAACTGAGATTTAATCTCACCATAATCAATTTCAATTTCTTTTCTCAAAAGCTCGGAATTTCACCCTTATAGCTCTAATTGACACAAAATCGGATTATGTTTTTTTATCAAATTCTAAAACAGTTATTCTCTACAGCTTAATTTTCAAGTTCATATTCTTAATTCATACTTTCTCTTAATGTTAATACTCTAATAAATTGACCAACACCAGAACATCCACGAAGCACAAAATGATGTTCTGTTACCATGCTTTGTTTTGCCCCTTCAAATTTGGAAAGTTAATGGATTTTAGATGAGATGGATAGCATATTTTGGTCCAAACAAGCAATATGGGGTGGCTAGGATTCCAACATTTGGAATTTGGACCAACAGCTCTTACAGTTAGTCTCAATTCCAAACTATGGATATGCTGATGTAGCTTTGACTTCTCTCGACTGAAAGTGATCCTATTTTAAACTAAGGTAACAAAAGAGAAGAAAATTATACAAAAATTAACTAGGGTTGAGATATTAAAGAAAAGGGTTGAGTAATGATAATGTAAATAAAGATATAACATTTGTTGAAAACGTAAATGTCCATCTGCTGAAAGGCGTTTTTCTTCTATAATCTTCTCATAGTATGATATATTGCCCTTGAACTAAAAACTTTTGTCTCTAGCCTTCTTCCTATTATCATAACAAAGAAAAACATTAGCATTTTAGCTTTTGATATTTGTTTTTGTTAACGTAAAAGCCAAAAGACTATCTTTCAATAAATCAAAGGCTTATTCTAGTGGAGTTTGCAAAAGCCTTGAATAAATGGCTTTTTTGAATAAGAACCAAATCGCAGCAATTACGGAAGTAGAGAAATTCTGCCGGTAATTTTCAGTGAAATTTGAACATTCGAATGGAATTTGAAGGAAAATTGTACAGCACAATCAAAACACTAGCATTATATTTTGAGGAACATAGCATTTATTTTACCCGTTATTCAAATATGAGAATGTTTGTCATTAACATAGTAATATCAATAAACATTAAATATAAAATATCAGTCAAATATCAAAATAATATATTAAATAATTCAAGGAATTGCAAGAAAAGTTACAATGACTTTCCAAATGGAACATCTTCACCAACTTTTTTCTCTTACTTATATAATCTTCTAATGGATAAATATAGAAATAGTTCGTATTTTGATTCAACTTTTAAAATCTGATAAATTATTACAGGCTTTTTGACAATTTGTACAAAAAAATAATAGTTTTTGGTACTTTACATATAGGCCATTATAAATTTGACACTTAGCACTTTAAATTATCAAAAGTGCGCTCTTACCTTGATATCCACCACATGAGCAATAAGAGTAATGGCAACTTTGAAAATTTATATTAACGGATAGCAAAAAGACCAAAAAAAAACACTTGAAACTAGTTTTTGTTATTTAATATTCTATTTAATAAAATTATACTCTTATTAAACACATATTACAAACTAGACTTAGGAAGACTCACGTGGAAGCTACTGTGAGTAGGTTTTTGTCAGCTTGCACCTCCTTATAATTTTTTAAAAAGCTCAGAATGTGTTATTTTGTCAAATTTTAAAGCAAGATAATACACTTTCAAAATAAAAGAAATGAAAAATACAAACATTAGAAGTCAAACGATGATATAAAAAATTAGTCAATCACACACCATTACATAATCCCTTGTCAAAAAGTCCCCTATTAAAACATGTACAACCCATAAGAGAAATAACATCAAAAAATTATTTAACATGTATTTAATATAATTAATTTTTATTTTTATTTTAATAAATTAGTTTTTAATCTATTTTAATATTAGCAATGAATTAAGACATTAATAAGAGATGTGATATCGTAATTTGATTATGAAAAACAAATTTTGAAAAAAAAAAAAACAACTTTGCACAACAGATAGGATGTAGAAAAAGTTTAAGATGACTGGGAAACCAACCAAATCTTACCTTATCATCTCAACCTTTTAAAGAAAAATATAATTTGCATAATTAATTCATTCGCAGTAAGTAATGTCAACTTTAATAATGATGTGATGATGATGATGATGATTACTGGTGGCATCTCACTTTTCTTTTAAAAATGAATTCAATGTGGAAGGGTTTGACTTCCTTTATTAAAAATTCATTATTTTTTTTAGAAGTGTTAGAAACAGGTAGCAGTATTCTTGGCATTTTTAGTTTATTAATTTCTGTAAAGTTATTTTATTTTTTTATTTATTATACAAAAAAATGTCATGGAAAGTTGAACATTTATTTTTTGAACAACTTCAATTTCATTTATTTTCTATGGTGAAGTGACAAAATGCAGATGCAATAAGTGTTGTGGAAATTCAAAATTACTTTTTCAATTAATATTTTGGTAGCTTTAAATACCAAAGAGTGACATTCGTACCTTATATAATTTCTGGAATTTATATTTTTAAATTTTATTTCATAAAAGACCATTTTTGCTGTCTTTTTATATGAATTTCTGAACTTATCCCTTAATTTTATTGTTCACATGCTGAATATCAAGGAAATAATGCACTTTTGATAATTTTGGAGTGCTAAATACTAATATTAGAATACAAATGTCAAAGAGCCAATATTACACCTACTCGAATTATAATAGCAGTTGCATACACTAATTATATAAATAATAGTGAAAAAATATAAAGAAAATAGTACTAGAACTTAATCAATTAAAAAACAAATGCCTTATGGGAAAGAATCATGATACTGTTAGGTTATAACAAATCCATAGCTAAATGATTTTGCAAGAATAGCCAACACTATGCATTGAACGTGCCAGAAGCTCGGACATTAAAATGAGTTTTTTGTTTCTCCTTTCGCTTTTTTATCTTGGATGCATCTATATATAAATATTAAAACTGTCAAAATTTTTCTACCATTTATCACCTCATTGAGCAATATCTTATAACTCAAATAATTGTCATGTGTAAGTGATATGATGTATTTTTTTTATCCATACCAAATTTATATATAAATATTAATACTCGGTATCCTATGTATAAACACAGACCCTAATACTAGTAAATATTAAAAACTAAAATATTAGTTTTGAATTGCTCCATTTCAGCAATTTTTTAAATGGTTTATGGGATAATTTTTCTGTTCTTTAAGTGTGGCGACAATAATAGTAGTAATAACTTTAAGATGGTTTAAAAAAAAATCAGTAAAAATAGTAGGCCATGATATTTTAACTGAAACGCGTGAGAAGGATGTAAAAAGGGTTAAGGTTCAATCTCTTGCAGTGAAGTGGTTTCGCTTAGTGGGTGACACTGCCAAGTGTATGAATTGGAATCAGAATATATATTGACATTTGAGAGATGACATGTTGTGTGTTGCACTGAATCAGTACCTCTACAAGAGGGGCAAATTTTAAGAGTGTGGCTGTGGGTCCTGACAGTGAATTGGCAAGTGATTGCAAGTGTAAGAGAAAAATTGGAGAAGACATAAGGGAAGAAAGTAAATGATTTGAGAAAGACAACAGCTGAGTTGTATGGAATCACAATGATGAAGTTAAGATTGACTGAAGTGAAGTGGGGTAATGATGAAGTTGAATATGAAATTTGAAATGAAAATGCAAAGATCCTTCTTAGGAGCTAGGCGTAGGCTATAAAAATGAAAGAAAATCAAGAACTAAGCTTAAACTGATCAGTTTAATTTAGTTCAAAGTTGAAACCAATCAGCTTACAGTTTCAAAACCTTATATTAACTTCATAAGGGGAGATCCCAAGTTCCAACTTTAAACCGAAATACATTATTCATGCTCTTATCAAACAGTAAAATACATCATTCGTAACTCATCCTCACACAACCGAGGACCCTTAAATTGTATATATGGGACCCTTGCATAATCCACAAATCCACACGACCTTGACATTTCTAAACATTTATAACCTCCTAGCCATGATTACACATAAATGACATTCAAGAACCACCAAGCCCATTAGCACACCAATAACTCACACTAACTTGTCACAAGGAAAACAGTAAAGAGTCATACAAATGCAAAGGTACAAGAATTGCTTTTTTTAAATAAAAAAGAATATCAGAAAGTCTATTTATTAAAGAATATCAGAAAGCCTATTATTGATTCTAACATAAATATCTCATTATAAATCACATCCAAGCCCTCCTTTATTAAAGTGTGTTATAACAACATTAAATAATTTTTAGATGGAGATGCTATTAGGGACTCCCTTTTCAGTCACTCCAGGTTGTGAAAATGGTTTCAGAAGTTCATATGGCACCACCCCAGCTCCACTCCTGTTCTTCAAATTTTTGTTTTTATTCCTCGAATCTATTATCCCTGCAATTTCCCTCAGATTCCTATTGAATAGTCCAAAACATGCCTTTATCTTTGGATTTTCTGCCCACGATGACTCATTCTCCTCTCCAAGATACTCCTCATCTACAGAATGACTGGACAATAGGTAAAGGACAGCCATAACTTTTGTAGCTTGTATTTGTGAAGGAAAGCATAACAAGAGTTCAACTTCTGGCTTTTTTAAAAAATGGCTCCATTCTTCATCTGTCTGGTCTTCATGTGGCATTTTCCTTCTAGCAATGGTTGGTCTGTTAGGGAAATAGCCTCCAAAAGCATACTGACCAAAGTTGACGGCCGCATGGTGACAAGATGCAACCCATATAATGGTTGTGAGTATGCCAATTAGGTCATCTGAAGTATTTAGCACCGGCCACCATGGAGCATCTTTCTTGTCTGCATGACCTACTGTTCGAATTTCTGTCCACCATGCTTGAAGCTCTTCATCAGATTTTACAAGGCCTTCATCTGGGTAATAGTGTTTGACATATTCTGTAACCCACTGCCTAATGGCATCCCAGAGGAGAAGACCATCATTTGCAAAAGGGTAGTCTTCGATTGTTAGTTTCAGGCCATGTGGAGCGGTTGAATCCTCCACAGCCATTCCCCTAGAAATTATAGAAATTTAGTAGTTAAGGCTCACAATGAGCAAGATTAAAACTATTTTGATTCTTTTAAGTACAGGAATTACCTGCTAATCAAATCTGCCGGCAGTGCCTGCAAATCGAATTGCCACTGCTGGTCATAAGCAACAGAGCTAATTTCCATGGAATACTTGGCTGGCGAGAATGATGACTCGATGATCCCATCAGCATTGATGAGAGCTTCTCGAGCCAAAGCATTGATCTCCATTGTGTATCGGAAATGAGGGTGCAATAGTCTGTATACAGGGTGCAGAGCGCTAAGTTGCCGGTTAGTCGCAATTATATAAGGCTCAGTGGCACAATGAGTTCTTAGCCTGCAGCATTCCACACCCATGATATTAAACAAGTGAATTAGTATGAATAATTAGAATAATATTTGCACTTTGAATGTTATAGTAAATGGATGATAGTTAAATTTTACCAGTGACTAATAAGCTCGTGATGGCCAGAGTCGTGAGCAAGGACATGAGTCTTGGCCAGCCTCCAAAGCCAGCAGCCGTAGCATCACAGGAGGAAGGAGTGAAGACTTGCCTCCACAAAGGTTTACCGTCCAGTGGAGGCCGAGTAAGTTCAATGGCTAATGGCATCAAGGTCCCATCTGGAGTTAGGAAGAACAATGTCCTTGATCCGTAAAGGGTCGTTCCTTTGATCTCTCTTACCTTCTTCACGTAGGGAAGAAGTAGATCATGGTAATCCAGCATAAATAGCTTCTTTTGTCGCAAGGCCTACAATTGCCAAATTCATTTTAATTAGCCTTCTCGAAAATAAAAGTTGATACATGGGGATTATTTTACGTAATTAGTTTAATTAATATAAAGAAGTCTTATGCATGAATTACCTCTTCAAGGGTCATGAAGCCCTTTATCTGTTGCTCAACACCTCTGTGGTGATTGCTGATTCAGGTGCACCGTATATCTCCGGATTTAGTTTACTCATCAATGGCCATTCCTACATTTTGTGTGCAAGTTAATTAAGGCAGAAAGATCAATCAAGTAACAGTCTAGCTCTGTAAGCTACATACCAAGTTCTTGGATAATCAGGTGAAAACGAGATGCTTGTATGTATAACATACACGTGGACAACTATGCATTAATGCAGAGATAATAAACTAATAAGCATGCAAGTTAATCTTACCTTGACCAACTGTATGCTGTACGGATTCACACCAGCAAGAGTCTGGCGGGCAAACTCCTCGTCTCTAAACCAAGAAAATCTATCTCCTGCATTATGGTGGTGAAGAATTCAAGGCCATAGGAGAGATTAAGACCGTGACTTAGAGAAGAAGCAGCAGAGATGGAGGATGATGATAGGTAATGCGTTAATTTATACTTGTAGTTTGATTAACATTTACTCACTTTCAAACGTCTTTGGGGGTGTCAAATCGTATCACCTCTTCCTGAGTATCGGTAATAGACTTGAGTATCCTAGGGAAGAGATCCTTCAAAAACCCATTTTTGGAGAGGGGTGGAACATGAATCCCTTCATTGAACAAGGATTCTATGTCCGTAAAGGTTGCAAAGCCGAGGTCGGGTCTACAAATATTGTATCCAGCGATTGAAACAGGGCGTGCACAACCTGGTCAACGGTCGTGGCTGAGAACGTAAGCAACTTCACCTCTGAGAAGGCCTCGTCTCTAGGCACGTAAATACTACCACTCCTTGACTCCGACGATGGATCTGCATATGCATGGCAATTAATTCAAAATCCAAGTGTTCATTAATTGCAAACTTTCAAAAAGTAAAATTCACAATAAGTACATTTTTCAAGATTAGTTCAGCAAGTTTTGTTTAAATAAAGAAAAAAAAAATCTTGTTTATTTGATACGTACCAGTCTTGCAGTGTGGTCGGCCAGTTCTGCAACGTCTAGGGTAAGGATGTTGTTTCCCACCCAGGACAGGCGCTTTAGTTCAGGTTTAGAGTCGGGATCTCCAAGATCATTGTAAACATCATAATCATAAATCCTGTCATTTGTCTTGCGTTCACCTTGGCCATTTCCTCTTAGATTTTCTAGTTCTTTCTCCTCAGCAGCCCGTCAACCCACTTGGAGTTTGACATGGCAGGTATGACTGCTCATGCATGCACGTAATTGAGTTACGTGACTTTCAAGTGATAATAAACAAAATGAGTAAATTCATAACATTAACGGTGCGGAATGTGGATGGTGACTGACCTTGTTGGTGAAGAAAATTCTCTTCTCGGAGTTATCAGACTTGGGAGCAACCCATGAGTTACAGGTGACGTTTAGCACGCCTTGGGCTAATCCATCAAAGACAATGCTCTTGAGGTACATCTCATTGTGGTGTTCATTCTCCACCAATACAGCTCCAATGCCCCCAAAATCTTTTGGAATCTTAAAATCACAGTCGTACTTAACCTCATCCTTCTCTTGGCTACTCCGATGCGCATAACCTTTGATTGTCTCCTTCTCTTTTCCCGTCTCTTTATCAACAAACATATCAATATCAGTATTTTTTATATATAAGAAAAAAAATAACAATAATTGCTTGCCATGGCACAGATATTAAAAGAAATTATAAGAAAGGAAACATTATCTCACTTTCTGCACAAAATTCTTGGCAACCAAGATGAAAAAAATAAATAAATATTAATTGATGAACATATAAATATAAATATAAAATAAATAAAACAAAAAGGATATGAATAAATATTGAAAAATTCTTGGGCTACTAACTTTCCATTATGGTCCATTGCTCACTGGTACTTTTTGTATAAATCTTAAGAAACAGTGGTTATATTTGAAAATTTAGAAAATAGAGAAAGAAAACAAAAACTATATATATTAGTTTCTATGTTATAGCACGTTATACATTTGTGCGGGTGAATTTGGAAGTTTTAGAGAAGGTAAAACTGTAACATTTTTTTTCTTTTTTACCAAAGTGAATAATTCTACGATTTTAAATACGTTCAATTATCTTAAGAATTATTAGGAATTCACATTAATTCGTATGCAAACAACAAGACCTGTGAAGTGTCTTCCATCGTCACTTGAATTAATTTTCTAGGGACCAGATCTATCTACCATCACTTTAAGGTCTTTTCAAATCATGTGAATTTAAATTTAAATTTATGTTGGGTTTAAGGAAGCAACGAAAGAACATATAAAAACATATGCAACCTACAACCTAATGACTCTACACCAACTGTGCATCCAAAGAAAAATATTTACAATAATTTTTTTAATGAAAAGTGAAAATCGGTAAAATTGTCTGGAATAAGGAGAATGGGAGTGAGAAAAAATTTATATTTTAATTTTATATTTTTGAAATATATAAACACAAAGAAAAGTACATCTAGAATTTTTGCAAACATGAATTGAAGAACGCAAACACATACTTTATCAAATAAGCTTGAAATAATAAAACATCTCAATTTTGAATTTGAAATTCAAATTCATGAATTTTTGAACCAAATCAACGCTTAGTAAAGTAATTATTTACCTTATTTTCATAAACATAAAGCAGAATATAAAATTTGGCCAAATAAAATTTTTATGAAGCCAAGGCATGTAGAGCTGGAAATAAACCTAGTCCAGCAAATTTATGGCTTATAAGGTCAAGTCTAATGTGAAAATTATTAATTTGATCCTGATTTATGACCTATGACGCAGTTAAAAAAATTAGTCATAACCTAATTTATTTGTGAAAGTGGTAAAATTTGATATGACCTATTAGTTTACTAGGTGGGTCTATATTTGATCTATCAAAATATATATTATATATGACACTATAATATATTTTATATATAACTAAGTATATAGACCGCCTATAAGACTTATGAACCAGGTAAAATATAATTAGACTAAACATATTTAAATAAAAATATCAATTTCTTGTCTTGAGTCAAGACATAACCGGCTTACAAGCACCTTAGCTTATTTTCACCTTGAAAACGTGTTCGAAAATATGCCTTGTACCGGATTTATTGTTGGATTGAGTTTGGCCCAGTCTGCTCCTGTAGCAAACTCCTGTTTGGAACTTTTTTTCGGAGTCAATGCCTTCGCTAAGCTCCAAAAGGGAGGGGGGGCTTAGCCAGATAAATATAAAAAAGAAAATTTTAAACACATTATAAGGGTTAAAAGATAAATAAATGATAAAAATTATATATTTAAAATTTATAATTTATTTTTATAATTTTACATTATCAGTAACAACTATCTTATCTGAATCCTTTTTTCAAATAATAACAGCCATCTTACTAAATTCATTTTGTATCAACGTTAACCAATAAACAAAAAGTTGTACAAAAAAGAAACAACAAAAATAATGGTTTCCAAGATTAGGCAAAATAATGTCAATAAAAGAATCTAGAGAATAGCTGGGGAAAGATTAATATAAGCAGAAGCACAAGCTTCTTCTTTTCTGTTCTCCTAATAAAATACTTACTGAGATCAAGTTCTACACTAACAAGCTCCAAGTGGATTGATCTCCAGCCAACGCTTGATAAGAAGCCGCCGGCCGTTAATTTCACCGTAAGAACGGCCTTAACACTCAAAGACTGCTCCTCAGTGGCTTCTATAGCCTTAGTGGTGTTATACGACGGCATTTGCGGAATTACTGAAGGTGTTTGGCGGCGGAGATGGGCAGGTTTGGCCGCGGGAAGAGGTTTGGGCGAGGTGAGACTGGTTGGTTTGGGAATTATCTCTCCTTTCTCTCGTTCTTCTATTTTTTTGTTCTTGGTTGGTGGCGGAAGCAAAGGCTATCTGGATGAACAGTTCCGGCAGAAGGGTGTCTATTGGATATTTGTCAGACAAGATGCAGGTATAGATTGAACCTCTCCTTTTATAGAGTCGAGAAAGAGAGAAAAGTCAAAATAAAAGGCAATTTCCTTCTTCCATTCAGGCACGCCTTCCGCACGTGAAAAATAATCTTAAACTCTCTGGAAAAATATTACTATTTAACTTTTATTTTTGTCATAATTAGAAGATACTTATCAATTTGCAATTTTGTGAAAAGTCTAACCGTGTCCAAATGCAATGGAGCTTTACCCAAGTTCGTGTAGCGATTAGGACAATATCAAATTTAATAGAAATATATATTTTAAATTATTTAATAATGCATTGGATGCTTAATTTTTTTTTAAAATTAAGAAAATAGAATAAAAATGTATTGCGCAAAAATGACATAGAACATTGAGAAGATGATGATGATTGACTCCTAATTAGGAAACTTAAAGGCAATTAGTTTTCTTCCATATCCAAACATGGTTTATTAGGACGTAGACGCAGTGGGGCAGCTGGGTTTGACCAAGGAAGTCGCCCGTAAAGTCATTTTAATGTCGGATTCGTTGCCTTTATTGCTTTTATTCAACTTTAATTTATTCTAGGCTTCAAAATTCAGCACGAGGACTAAATATTAATTATATTATAATTTATAAATTTTTTGAGAGTTTTGGGACCTAAATTAAAATATATCGTGTTATTATTTTGGATTCAATCAATAAAAATTTAATTGAAATGATATTTTTTAGAAAATTTATATAAAAATTAAAAATTAAATCTTACCACTCCTTTTTTTTTTCTTAGCTTAGCCTTGATTAAATAAAAAAAAAAACCTCTTATGCATTTAGCTATTAGAAACAACATACTCAGCATTCATTAAATAAATATAAAAAAATGACTCTATGATATCGTTCTCTCATGCATCTAATAAGTATTAGTTATACTGTGCTAGTGAATATACATTCACTATTAAACAAATCTAACTCCAGATTCATATGTATCTTGTAAGTTACGTGACATCTTTAATAAGCTATCATACAATGCTATGTCAGAGAGACAGGGACAGGGAAATTTAACAAAAGAAAACCTTTTTTTAATAAAATAACATACGAGTCTTGAATGCACCACATTTTTTTTTTTTAGTACACGCTTTACAATAAGGATGTCTACGTTTTACTTGTAATCATCAAAGACGGATTTACAACGTTGAAAAAATTTTCAAATTTTCGTTTGTAATTTTTTAAAAATGGAAAAATAGTTTCTTAATTTTGCCTCCCAGTGTTGCAATCCTAGATCCCTCACCGCGAGTAATCATTTTTCAGATCAATGATTAATCAAATTTTAATTTTTTTTAAATTTTGTAACATTTTATAACTTACAAAATTTACGACAGGTAAACTATTGATAAACAAAAAGTGATGAAAATCTAAAACCTCCGGCAATTTTCTTATATTAATGAAATATGTGTGGAGCTTTTCTAATTATATTATTTTGATTTATTTTCATTAATTTGATTCTTATATGTGCCAAGATTCTTAGATGTAATTTTATTTTTATTACAAATATAGAGTAGAGGTTTGCCCTTTTTTTCTTTTTTAAAATTTCAAATGATATTTATATTAAATATTTATATAAAGATGCATAGCCATATAATATTATTCAACAAATTTTTGCATAAACTCATAAAGAAAGTAATAGTCAAACATGCTCCTTTTTTCTTTTTATTTAATGAATGTGGAATATTAAATATTTTTAATAAAAAATACACGTGTTACATTGATTAAGAGTGGGTTCGGCGTGCTACAAAGTAGAATTTCAAATTATAAGATCTAGCAATACATGCCGTGCGGGTTTTTGTGTACCCGATGGACTCATTTTTTTATAAATTTAAATCAATTTTAAAAAATTGATTTAACAGATTGATTTTAAATAAAATAAACTTGAAAAAATTAGGTTTTGATAAAGTGAATTTTAATTATTTGATTACAGATGTAAATGGATATAAGAAAATTTCTATGTAAATAAAATAAATTATTTTAAAAAAGTATGTTTGAATAGAGTTTATTCAAAAGTTTTTTATAAAGTATTTAAATAAAATAGATTTAAATAAAGTGAGTTAGTCTCAAAATAAATATGGCCATCTTTTTATTAATGTAATAAAACATTATATATATATATATATATGAAAGAAATATGGTATATCAAATTAACATTTTAGTGAAAAAACAGAATTTTTATCTAATTATATATTTAATTCATATATGTGAAACATTTAAAAAAATATTTCGGAAAAATTAGAAAATTCCAAGGCAATAGGAAATAACCATGAAATGTGGAATTTGAAGTGACCACCACTACCATTCTGACCAGGAATCGTGATTAGATAACTCCACCATATGCAAGCTTTAACATTTTCCATTGCCATCTAACATTCCTAGGGAATGATTCAAGCTTTGGTGCTTCTGACTGGTAGGAGTGACTCACTAGTTGTCAATAACAACAATCGACGGGTCTAAAAGCCAGACTAGTATAATTTTGAATGAGAAGGAACTAGAGATTACAAGAACTTGTCAACCAAAGCATCAAGGAAGAGGGAAATATATACACAAAATGGGGAAACTTTCAATCATGCTTGCAGTTGGCAATATACGACTAATCTAAAACGTGCCTATTTTTTATCGTTATTGATATCACTTGTTTGTCTTATAACTTCAATTGTCACACGTAAGAAATAAAACAATTCAGCCCCCCATTTTTTTAAAAAATAAAGAATTAATTAACACTTAATGTAAATTCAAAACACTTACACTACATCTTCACCGTTGATTTAGTTAAAATTAACAGATAAAATTCATTTTTAATAATTAGTTTATAGTTATCTTTCTTTAATTAATTTCATTCGTTGATTTTGAGTAAATTAACGATATAAATATCTTAAACTTACACCAAGTATTAATTAAT